CAAAAGCTCCGCAAGTGATAGTTTCTCAAAGATCAGTTACAATGTTGAGTGTGAAGCCACAGCAATGACCTCCTTCATACTCTATGTGAAAATCCCGCGGCCTGTGTTACACTTTGAAATAAATCTTTTCCCATCATTTTCTACTATTATACATTAGTCATTTGGAAAATATTAGCTCACTGAGTTATGCAGATCTTATGAATGTTGACCTCATACTATACATCATCCAATATCAAAATCACATTTGTCAATATCACCACCATCTCATCAAAGCCTCTAAGCATCGGGAAGCTAATGAGCTCACAGTAGCAGATGCAAGTTTTCCAAACTTCCAATTTTCACTTGAAAGCTTGAGTTTTATCGTTGGCAACAAATTCTGTCAGTTATTTTCCTTGAAATGACAAGCTAACTTTGTTCTTTTTTTAAGAAAATGTCTGCCAAATATCCAAGTCTGAGTAACCGTTGTTCGTCTGTCAGGGGTTCTTTCATGTAGAAATGATGTTCCAGGAAGAAAGTGGCTAATTCAGCTCACAAAAACAATCGTAAAAGTGCTTTTCCTTGAGGTGACCATCCCCACTTCTGTCCACAGCACAAGGGCTTTATGGGGACGTGTACTTCCTGCTTCATCACACAGAATGTGCAAAAGATGTGTACTCAGGGCCAAGATTTAATAAAACTGACAATTTTTACTGCTTGATTAAGGATGACTTGAAGTGAAACTGGTTTTTGTTTTTGTTTTGTTTTTTTTACTGTGAGTGTGTGGCAGTGAAGAATACAATGACTACTTAGTACAGATTAGTGCCAATGCCTTGATTCATGCTGAGGCACCAACACTTTTACCCACCAATGCTTTTGCACCATTAGTGCAAATATCAACCAGTAAAAAAAGGCAAATAATGTCTTGATTTTATTATGAAAATGGTTTGACTTCATGGACCCCTAGAAGCATCTTAGGGACCCCCAGAGGTTCCATGGAACACACCTTGAGAACTGCTAGTTTATGTGCTAGAGTCTTTCTCAGTGAATCATATCATGTGTTGGCTAGGGAAAGTAGAGGGGAGGGGAGGGGAGAGTTGTACATCCAAATCTCCATGGAAACGTCGACCTAACCCAATACTATCGTTGTAAAGATGAAGAAATGGAGGCACAGTGAGATTTGTTCCAAGTCATCTAGCTCTATTGTGGTAGAGCCAGGATCTGCTCCCAGGTCTCCTGACTCACACACAGTGAATATGAAAGCCTCTGTCAAGTTAGGTCTCTCACATCTCCTAAATTCTCTCATAAATACGCATCAGGACTCTATCGTGTGCCAGGTACAATGGCAGGTATTGATGAGATGAAATCAAATGACATTTTCCTGCCCTTTGGGACTCTATAGTCTAGGAAGCATGCGGACAGGTGAATCAAAGCTTACACGTGCAGCCAGTGCCGAGACAGGTAAATAGGGGGAGGCCCCCGGCTCAGAGGAGGGATGCCTGCATCTGACTGCTGCTCGGAACAAGCAGAGTCAGTGATTCTTAGGCTGAGGTGGGAAGGAGGAACAGAAGTTAGCCAGATAAGAGGGAGCGAGGGCCCTTCCTGTGGAGGGAGAGTCTGTGGGAAGGTAGGGAGGAAGGAACGGGCAAGGCAGGAACTTTGAGGAGCTGGAGGAATGGGGGGGGGAGATGGCTGGAGGTGAGAGGGGCAGGTTCAGAGGCTACATCATGGAGGACTGTATGTGTCAACCCAAAAAGTTTGGACTTATAAAAGCCTTGGGGAGCTAGAGAAGCTGGCTGGAGGACTGGCTAGAATGACAGGCTGGTGCTTCTTCCAAATACCAGATGGTCATGACCCCAGGACAAGCCATTTGACTCTCAGGGCCTCACTTTCCCCAACTACACCTCGAGTCACATGATTACACACAATGTGTTGTATGAATTCCTCACCTACCATGAGGGAGCTCTTGAAAGAACGATTTCGCATGCCTTAGAATTAATCCCATTTTCTTGGCCTGAAACTTGTTACAAAGTGCTATTTATTGTTCCTGTGGGCTTTATGGCTCACTCCGGACTCTTAGAAACCATGACATCAGTTTAGTAGTGTTGAACAATGTAAGATCTATAATTTGTATTCTGTTGCCTTGCCAGACTGAATCCTAGAAAGTATTTCTGAGCAGTGGTTTCCAAACCTGGAGAGTCATCCGAGACAAGTGGTTAAAAAAATATGGATTTTCAGACACTACCTCCAGGGCCAGGGAATCTGTATGTTTATTTTGCTTCCCAAGTTATTCTGGAACAGGCAGCCTGGCCCTGGTTTTCTGCCCAGATATTTTGGGTATCACAAGTTGGAACCAACTAAAGAGGAACATACATTTAATGGCTGACCATTCCAGTTAAATGTTGATTCGTCAGATCACTTATGTGTTATATGTGTTATATGGCCACTTAACGCAGTTGGCGTTTTTCTTGTTATGTGAAATGCGCTCCTCTGTGTGTGAGCTGGAAACATTGAACTCTTACTTCATGTCTCACATTTGTTGCTTTTCCTCCCCTCGACCTCTTCAAAATGTTTTCTGGTGGCCATTTTTCTCTCCTCCCTTTCTTCTTATCAGAGGCTTTGCCATCTCATTAGAAAGATATGAATTGTTTTATTTATTTTATTCTTGGTGAACATATTGTTTCACTAAAGCAGTTTGAATGACTATATATGCAAGTGTGCACTGATTCTGTGGGAAGTGTTATATGCAAGAGCATGGAGATCAATAAACAAGGCTGACAATTCCTGTGTAATCATAACAGTCTGGGCATGTCTGGCATCCCAGAAACGTGCAACATATATACAAACCAAATAAATCTTTGACACTAAATTATTATCACTTCAGCCTACAAGAAAGAAGAGACTGCCAGACCCAGATGGGGATGAATGGGTGGTCCCATCAGAGGTCTGGGGAGTGCCACAGAGTTTCTTACATTTCCAAGGGTCCTGGAGATGACATAGTCCTTCTGGGGCCGTCAGAACAAATTAGGACAACGTGTCAAGTTTAAATTTAGGTCTTGCCCATCATTTTCAATTTTCCTCATGGGCAAAAACAGAAGGACTGCACAAGTTTTCACGAAGACCCACAGGCCCTGGGGAGATGGGTGGAGGGTGATGCCAACATGGCAGAAAGCACCTACTTAAGTGAGTGATGGCGGTTTAGATCCCTCATCTGCCCCAGGCCCCACAGCTAGCTTCTCTGAATAGCTGCATCTGATGATGCTTAGAGACCACTGCATAGACGTGGACCCAAACAGGAAATCTTACAAGTGGAGGGAAACTTAGAGAGCCTCTAGTTCACTGATGTTCAACTACAGGGACCAGGCCCCGTGGCTGTTTGGGAATCCCCGGTGAATGTGTGTGCATGGGGAGGGGCATACAGATTTAAAAAAAGGTTGAGGAACCCTGATCTCACCAACCACCTCCCTTACTCCTGAGGCCCAAAGAGGGGAAGTGATTTTCCCTCGGAGCTCATTTGTGTCAGGGACAGGCCTGGAACCAGTCTCCTGACCCCCAGCCCTGGCCACTCCCCCATTATGTTCTCATTATTATTACAGCTCCTCTTGGCATATGTGTGGGGTTCGCATTTTCTCCAAGATCTTTCACTTCAGTTATCCTTGTTTACCGGCATCCACACTCCTGTCAGAAATGGGGGACAGGTATTACTACCCCATTTTACAGTGAGGAAGATAAATTCCACAAAGATAAAGGGGTGTTCATCCCAGAAAAAAAATAAGATTTGGAAATGAATAAGGATCTTCAGATGTTACAGGGCTGGTATCTGAAGGAGGGACCAGCCCAGTCTGCCAGTGAGTGAAACTACTTGGCAAGAGGCAGGAGCTATGTGGGCTTTGGAGCTCAGTGCCCAGATCCTTCACTTGTCAACTGGGTGATCCTGGCAAGACAGTTAATCTCTCTGAGCATCAATTTTCTCAATAGTAAAAGGGATCATCAGAAATAATCTGTTATCTCTTTGGCCAAAAGCAGATGCTCAATAAACAAAAGGTATTATTAGGGCCCAAAAGTAGGCTTCAGTTTAACATAAGAAAGAACTTTCTATCAAAGAGAGCAGTCTGTAAGTGCAATGCATTGCCTTGCAGAGGAGTGAGCTTCTTGTCACTGAAAGCATTCAAGAAGAAACTGGAAGATCAGCAGTCAGAGATAGTATAGGGTGGGAAATTGGACAATTAGCAAATTTTATGCCTTTCCAGATTCCAAGATTCTATGATGTGTTCTGGGATAAACTCACATGTTCTGTACAGTTCTCTTCTATGTTCTTCAAACATGCTCTCTGCTCCCTCAGAGCCTATTCTTTCTGTCCAGAATGCTCTTCTTTGCCTAACCATCCTTCAGTCTCAGTTAAACCTCCCTTTCTTAGGGAAGCATTCCCTGACCAGCCTCCTTCACCCTGAATTGGCTGAATTGCTAACAGGTTCACGCAAGGACCAAGCCAAGAGTGCAAGCCTTCCTAAATCCCAGGTTAAGCCTCTTTTCACTAGGTTTGGTTAGCTGTTGCAAGACTAAAGTCCAACACAGCCATCGCATTGCAAAATGTGAGATACCCAAGCAGATGCTTTCCCTCCTTCAGAGAACGAGGCTCCACAACCACTGAGTTCTAAGTTCACTACCGTGTATTAGGTTCTTAACATGTGCCAAGCATAGTGCCACTTGCTAGGGGTTCAAAGACAAAAGTAAGTCACAATGTCCGTGCTGAAGGAGCCCCGTCTAGGGGATAAGAACAATAATCTTGACATAAGTTGGGAAAACATGTAGCCTACTGTGGGTACTTGAGACGGGAGCTCTTGGCCCTCACTGGGGTCCAGGGAAGGCTTCCTGGAGTTGTTGACACCCAGACACTCCAAAGCTTCCCATTCCTTATGATCAGGAGTGTTCTTGCTATATTATATCTCGCTGGGTCAGTGGATATATTCTTGGGGCAAAGCTCCAGTTGCTGGGTCTCCATTGCATCTTGATTTATCTTTCAGAGCTTCTGCAGATGTGCAAGATGCCTTCATGACTTACACAGCGTGTGACGACATCATCACTATTAAGCTCATCCAAGAGGGCGGCAGGGTCCTGGGTAAGTAGGAAAGGAGCTTGTTTTGGTTTCCTAGGGCTGCCGTGACAAAGTATGATCAAATCTCATTATTTGTGGTAGTGCTGTTCTGTAAAGTCACCATGAACACTGAATTAGCAAATACTGGGCAATCACTCCTAGGGGAAACACAGGGCTAGGTTCCTGAGAGCCTCCGGTCACAACATTTTCATAAATACGTAACCTTGTTTTGTGTGTATTTCTGTAAAGACACCTTATTTAACATATATTGTTATTCATTGACATTGAACTCATGGCCAACAGCACTACATCTCATGCCTGAATGAAGCTTATGTAACACATGTATTTTCTCTGTAAGGCCCATCACAACCTTGCACCGAGGAACACTAGGCAGCACTTCAGCACTGTGCCTGGGGGCATTTTAAAGACTTTTTTTGTGTGTGTGTGAGGAAGGTCAGCCCTGAGTTAACATCCATGCCAATCCTCTTCTTTTTGCTGAGGAAGACTGGCCCTGAGCTAATGTCTATTGCCAATCCTCCTCCTTTTTTTTCCCCTTTTTCTCCCCAAAGCCCCAGTAGATAGTTGTATGTCATAGTTGCACATCCTTCTAGTTGCTGTATGTGGGACACAGCCTCAGCATGGCCAGACAAGCGGTGCCTCGATGCGTGCCCGGGATCTGAACCAGGGCTGCCAGCAGCGGAGCGCACGCACTCAACTGCTAAGCCATGGGGCCGGCCCCAGGGGGCGTTTTAAACAGCAGAATCACCAACATACAAAAGTGCAAAAACATAGCACTAAATAGATGGCAAAAAGGACACTTGTTTATAGTATGAGAACTGAAACAAGAACCTAGAGCCTTTCCTTGTTTGACCTTAGCTAGAAACATCATGTTGGGCGACTCAGATTTGTCGCTGCTCTGCACATGTCCATGAATGACTGAAAGCTCTGTGAGTATTGATTTTGGGGTTACAAATATACTTTAGCAAGTAGGTAAATTTGCAAATACAGAATCTGTGAATAATGAGGATTGACTGTACCACAAACTGGGTGGCTTAAAACGACAGAACTTATTCTCTCAGAGTTCAGGGGGCCAGAAGTCTGAAATCAAGTTGCGGGCAGGGCCGTGCTCCTTCTGAAGGCTCTAGGGAAGAATCCTTCCTCTTCTAGGTTCTGGTGGTCCCAAGTGTTCCTTGTGGCAGCATAACTCCAATCTTGGCTTCTATCTTCACATGGCCATCTTCTCCCTGTGTGTCTGTGTCTCTATGTCCAAATTTCCCTCTTCTTAAAAGGACCCCAGTCATATTGGATTTAGGGCCCACCCTAAACTAGTATTCCATCCTTTCCATTTGAGTAGTCTTGGGCTTGTTACAGACACAAATTATGTATCACTTTTAGTTTCATCATCTGCACCACCACATCATGTTTGGCCTTGCTGTTGGCTTTGACAGGGGCTATCACACCTTTGAAATGGATCATCACGATTACCTTTGGGTGTCAGGAAGAACAGCATTGAGAATTCCCTTATGCCAACCACATTCACGTTTATCTGGAAATGGACGTGGTATACTTTGTGGGGTGCTGAGGGCCCTTCTCCCCCATCTTCTCTGCCATGGGACATCTTCCATCTGCCCAGACATTAAAATGCCGTGGACAGGGTCATAATGGGGGGACCACATGTGGATGGTCCCATTTACAATGAACATGTACTCCCAGGATGATTTCTTCCATGGATGTATCAGCAAAGGATGGTTTATTATATTAACTCTTGATCACTCCCTGGGCCCCAGGAGGAAGAGCTACAGGACAAAGAGAGAATTTAGCTTTGCCTCTAGAATGACCCAGGACAAATTACTTACTCACTCATAGTTTTCTTATTGGTCAAATTATGAGAATAATAATAATATCTACCCATCAGAGTTGTTTTAAGGATTAAATGAGATAACGTATGTGAAAATATCGAATGTGGTATCTGGCATACAATAAGCTCTCAAAAAATATTTCCTTCCTTCCCCCCATATTAATTTCCTGCCATAACAAAGTACCACAAATCACATGGCTTCGAAGAACATAAACTTATTCTTTGACAGTTTTATCTCCTCACAGTGGAGGCCAGAAGTCCAACATCAAGGTGTCAGCAGGGTTAATTCCTTCTGGAGGCTCTGAGCGAGAATCTGTCCCATGCCTCTCTCCTAGCTTCTACTGGTTGCTGGCAATCCTTGGCTTGTCGCTGCATCACCCCCATCTCTGCCTGCGTCTTCACATGGCCTTCTTCCCTGTGTGTCTTCACACAGCCTTCTTATAAGGACGCATCATTGGATTTAGGGCCCACCCTGACCCAGTAGGACCTCATCTTCATTTAACTAGTTATATTTGCGAAGACCCCGTTTCCAAATAAGGTGACATTTGGAGGTTCCCAGTGGACATGGATTTGGGGGGGACACTATTCAGCCCAGTACACCATCCTTTCCTTTAATCTTCCTTCTCACCAACACTGAGCAGGCAGTGAGCTGGGGCCTGGAGATGCAGGAGGGGCAGGCGGCCTCCGCTGTCCCAGGCTCTAGGGGGCTGCGTGCAGGAAGCAGAGGAAGCCCCTCTGGTACTTCTAGGTTCTTTGACGACATCCCTCTTTCGGTCCCAGTTGAACTTCCTTTGCTCATTCCCCACAGGCAATGTGGCTTTGGGTCACTCTGAGATGGCATTTAGGGATTATTGCAGGCAGACACTGCATCAGCATCCTCATCTGGCACTTGAGACCCTGGGGCAGGATTGTTGGCAGTGTGTGTGAGGCCTGGGAGCTCAGGGCCTTTCAGCTGGTTCCTGTGCAGCCCACAGAGGATCAGGCGGCACGGGCTGTGGTTCCCAGCTGGTTTTCACAGTGTCTCTGAGGGCCCAGCAATTGAGCTGCTGTCCTCGGGAGCTCTTCCTGAGGTGGTTGCAGGTTAAAGCCAGCCCCAGGCATGCAATAACCAGCCCCACAGGTGTGCATGGGAACATACCTGGGTAGCTGGCTAAGGTAATCCTGTAGGGACCGTTGACTTCTCCAGGAAGCAGCAGTGATGCGTAGTATGCCTGTGTCAGGTGAGGCATCGAGCTTATTCCCCTTTCCTTTGAATTTCAGAGAAGTTCTCTCATTTAAAAAAAATGTGCCAGCTTTAACCCCATGCACCTGGATCTGATAGAAAAGAAAGCTTTTCCCTTGATTTTCACATGGCAGTTTGACATCTGCATCTCTTCTCATGTTCCTGGTCATCTCCTGGATGCAGAAAACCTTCGGGGCATCTGCATCTGGGAGAAGCCCCAAGTCTCTGCAAAGCCTGGAGGGGCAAGTCATTGAGTCTTAGGGAGCTGAGCGTGTGTGAGGAGCAGATTCTCTCCAGCAAGGGGCAGTCACTGCTGTCCCTGCCAACTCCAGGCCACCTGCTGCCCTGTGTTATCTGGCTGCTCTGGTCTGTCTTGGAGCCGTGGAGTCAGACAGGGGCCAGAGGCGCCAACGAGGTCTGGCAGGATGACGGCGATTGGAGTTAGGAGGAATCTGGAGCACGAACTGGTCCTTAACTTTCAACCAGACGTGTGTTGGTCCTTGGTCACTTGCCACTCATACCTCCTAACAGAACTCGACAAGGTTGTTTCTAGACTGGAAATAAGGCGCAGAGAGAGAAATATTTGTTTGCTCCTTCAGGTCCTGGAACTTGGGCTCCAAGAGCAGCAACATCTCCTGGTGCCCTCTGAAGCCAGTGCTTAGCCTCCCTTTGCAGTGACCCTTTCAAGGAGGATGTGGGTGATTAGCAGACAGGGCTCTGGTGGCCTCCCAGCAATCACAGCTGGGCATCTCCTTACCCACTCCCTTTTCAAAGAGGCTCACAGAGAGAATTTCTAGGAAAAAGGTGGGCCAGGACCTAGGCAGTGTCAGTGGCACCTGCAAACCCTACCCCTACCCTGTCCAGCCTGTTTGGGGACCTCCTAGACCTCTTTGTCTCCCCGACAGCTGATGCCAGGAGCTTGGGCTATCGAAGAGCAGGGGGAGTGGGGATTTCTCTTTAGGAGTCTGACCCCAGGGTGTGTGCTTTTTATAGCACTGTGCTGCCCCCGGGGGGCTGGGAGCCTGGAGACTTGCCTTCTAGACTCGGCTCTGCCTAAGCAGCCACCTTCCTGCTCCACGCATAGCAGCACTCCTGCAGCAGAGTGACACCTCCCAGTCTCCTTGTTTAACACACCTGCCAAGAGATCTATCATCTTAAACATTCCTTTTTAGTATTGTCAAACATATGATAATGATATTAAATATGCTTTTCAAATCAAACAGGCAGACCCCTCCCTTATTCTAGTTTGCACTACCTCACATATGCAGGGCCTAGTGCCGCACTCCAGTTGACAGTTCTCTCCAGGTCTGTGACTCTGAGGGAGGGCTGCTGGCCCACAGGCAGGTCTGCATGTTACAACTGCCTCCTTTCTTCCAGCTGAGTAGGAGGAGCATCCAGGTACTTTGCCTCCACAGAAAGAATAAAAATCATTGGCTGGGAATTTTCTACTGAAAGGTGACTAGATTTGACCTGAAAAGCTGGAGTTTTGACAGAGCTTAGAAAATAAAAGAGTAAACAAGCTTGGACTGCGTGGTGGAATAAAGGCCTCCCTCAGAATCTTCTTGATTTTATTTCAAGAGACCCCAGCAGCAGGAGGCTATCATGGGTATCATGCAGTCTCTGTTTGGTTCCAAGCCCTCTGCCAAAGGGCGTCTTGCCCTCATTCTAGAATAAGCACCAGGGGTTGGATTCACTCCTGTGATGCCAGCTATGTGACCTTGGGCCAGTGATAGAATTTCATGGAGAGTTGATCTCCTCCTCAAAAATGAATAACACTTACTTCAAAGGGTCATGGGAAGGAGGGGATTAAGTCAGATAACAAATGTAAGGTACTTGGCAACATGCATGGCACATAGCCGGTGATGCATGGCACATAGCCGGTGCTCAGCAAATGTGAACGGAAGGGTGAATCTGAAAGGGAGTCAGGGGGATTTCTATGTTTTG